ATGAAATGAAACTGTAACTAAATACATTCTCTCACAGCTCACCAAGTCAGTCAGTTGCTACTGAAGCAGTTAATTTTTAATGCTGAAATTACTACCTGCTTTGTGATGTCATGTGGTCACTAGCAATACTAAAATATTTAGCAAGAAGCACTGAAACTATACACAAGATTGTTTTATATGAACTGTCCATGATAATCTTCCGGACTTCTTATTCTGTTTTAAAGGCCAAATAATTCATAATCACAAAACATGTAAAACACTCCCAACATTCACTTCAAGGCAAAAAACTTTAATACATTTAAGTCTATGATTAATGATGCTTTGTTCCATTTTAGCTTTGCCAAAAAAATTGTGCAGTCAGAGCAACTATTAAGTCCTCATTCTATGATACATGGTAAAAATCTTGCTAAATTAAGCCCTAACTTTGTCAAACCTATTTCATCTATCTCAAAGAAGTGGCAGCACAGTTACTGTGCTGTAACACTGTCAACTCAGGAACCTGACATGTTCACAGATGCCAGACCACAGAAATGTAAAAAGGAGCCTTTTCAAAAAGCTTAAGTTATATAAGCGGTGTGCTTCTTCCTTAGGGAATTGCTGAGGATAAGCGCAAAATACAACTCCACCAAATCACTACCAATGGTTCTACAAAAAGGTAATAAAGCAGATGCTTTCAAAAGAGGAAGTAAGCAAGGTATGACAAGGTATGAAACATGATGTCTAAGTTTTCACACTCTAGGCACATCTAAATTTCCCACATCTTTAGTATTTATACCTATATCAGACAGACCAAAGAACAGAACAGTTTCAGTAAGGACAACGCCACAGACAAACAAACACACAAAAGCAACAACAAAACCCACCCTAAAACCCTGAATGAAACCAGAACAAATCAAATTAACCACAAACCACAACTTAGTGATATTTAATGTATGATAAATTCCATAGATTGATACTTTAGAATTTAGGGAAAGTAAGACTCAACTAAGACCAGCTATAGGATCTATAACCATGTCACAAGCTTCCTGACCGATCAGTAATAAACCAATATGCCTCAAAGCTGACCAAAAGGCTAAACTCCAGTCTTACTTATTTAAACACCAGGTGTTGTTCAGCACACTAAGTGGCAATTACCAAAGCTGCAAAGCTACTAATTTATAATGCTAGGGGAGCAATTTTTTACAGGTGTTACTTTCTAGATGATATTCCAATACTAACAAACAATACAAAGAAGGTTCTGGCACTTCTGTCCTCTAACCTGCAATCCCACATCCTGCTATGTGACACAAACACAACTAGCAGGGATAGCCATAACTCTGCCCAAGAGAGCTTTCAGGTTCTGATGATTGCTAAAGCAGAAGCAGCATACAAAAAAATAATTGGGACTTCTATTCCATATTTCTGCTAAAATGCAGAAGTTTTTGCTAAAAAACAAAATGCTATCTGTCAAATGCTATTTGATACTATCCAGCAGGAACTAGCCTTGAATCATCTTTCTGATTTTCCTTTCTGCAGTTTCCCATAAAAGCAAATACAGGGCAGTGGCAAAACACGAATTCACATTATTTCCAGCAGGCACATTGCTTAAACAGGGTAAGTTTAGATTGGATATAAGGAAGAAGTTCTTTACTGTAAGGGTGGTGAGGCACTGGAATGGGTTGCCCAGGGAAGTTGTGAATGCTCCACCCCTGGAGGTGTTCAAGGCCAGGCTGGACAGATCCTTGGGTGACATGGTTTAGTGTGAGGTGTCCCTGCCCATGGCAGGGGGGGTGGAACTAGATGATCTTAAGGTCCTTTCTATGGTTCTATGGTTTGCATTCTCGATTAAGGATGGCAGCTGCAAGGATTTTTAGTGCAATTTTTCAAGCATGCATGTAAGAAAAATCATAAAATAACACTTCTCTTGAAAGGAGCATGTTTATCTACATTTAAAATAAACATCAGATTGCTTTTTGTATCTTTAGTTTCTAATGTATTCCTAGTCAGGATTAGCTGGGAATACTTTTGACCTCACCAATTCCTGTATAATGTTAGAAACAAAGCAGAGGCAGTGGTTTATTTGGTACATGCTAGAGCAGCCCTCCAGCTCCAAAGGAAGGTGCATTGACCCCAAAACCAAACAAGTACGGAATTAATTGTCCACAACAGAAAATCCTCCTCCAATTCAGCCTACAATAGCTCTAACAAAAAAAGCTCAAAAGTTCACCATCCACTCCAAAGTTTGTTACAATTCAGCTACGGCTACTGTTAGCAAACGTTGATATAACATTTCACACGAATGAAACAATTAAAATACACTGCAAATATCTGTATGGAATCATTACCCTATGCTTTAAAGCAAACAAATACACCTCATAGCAAATTCCACTTGAGAGTATCTGGATTTTCTACACAATCATGTTTTACCTGATTATTAACAGTTGCAACATCTAAGAATCCACACTTGGGGGTGCCTGCGTGAGCCTCTGGGGCTCTTGCTCCCCAGTGCATGGGTTAGCAGAGCGCAGGGTGCTCCATGGGTAAACACGAAAGCAAAAGCACCCACATATTCATTAGATGTGTGTAAACAGGGGAACCCATATCCACAGAAGAGGCTGTTCATGCTTGTAATCAAGCCCAGCTGTGAGAGGAAACGTTTGCGTGTACCTGTGAAGGTGGATGTGTGTGTGTCTGTGCGATTCTAGCTTTTTGGAATTAGTTATAGAACTGCATTCAACATTTGTAGGTGTTTCTTAACACTCCTTAAGCATCTAGTATTCTGGTTTATCTCTTCCATTGCTGATGTTGATCCTAAATATATAGTTCACTGATTTCTAGTTAATTATGCCTTTAATAAATCAACAAAATCTTTCATTGTCAATGTGTTTAAGCCATGGGCACTGAGAAGGGCTTTTTTCTATGACACTCCAACATTCCTCAGACTAATGATTACCAAACTTTCTTTGAGCTTCCAGTGTGAATGGATTCACTGAGCTACAGAGTTCTCATTCTCTATAGCTGAACTATCCTTTTTAACATCTCAAGTATCATGTTTCAGAGCTCAAGGCTGGAATTAAGTAATTTTCAGTATGGCACATAGAATCATAGACTCAACTAGGTTGATTCACCCCCTCTGTGAAGAAATTTTTCCTAATATCCAATCTAAACCTCCCCTGGCACAGCTTGAGGCCATTACCTCATAATGGCCATAACTATGAAATACATGTTTAGATGATCTTCAGGTCCTTTCTAACCCTAACCATCTATGATTCTATACTCCATTCCACTGAACTGAGCTGAATTTCTTCTTAATTCCCAAGTGAAACTGCTGCTTTTCAGTGGAGAAAGTCCTTCCAATTTTGACATCCACAGAAATTGTGCGCATGCTTACAAATTATTTGCATTTTTAAAAAATATGAGAAAGGTCCACAGATGCACAGATTACTATCTATTTTCAAATAACAGTCACAGCAACTGTGCACTGCCCTCTGTTTGCATGTCTTTATAGGAAGTGTAGAATTCATTAATACAGAACAGTGCAAAATATTTTAAAAACAGTGATCTCAACATACTGCACTGGAGATATGCTACCAGTTTCCCTGTTCTGTTGGTTCTGAATCCAGAGTGCCCAAATGAATGCCACTCTTGATGCACTGGACAAGATTTCTGGGACATCAGTAAACTGCAAGTCTAAGAGGGAACTGTGGTTTCTGTTTTGGCTGGTTTTCCATGGAAAAGAAGAAACAGGTTAATAAGAGGAGTCAAAACATCAAGTGTTCCCTACATTGCAGAGCTGAAAAGCTAGCTTAATTAATATTTCTGCAACAGAAGGACCAAAAGCCAGACCACCAGATTCAAACTGTTCAGTTTGGTAGTTCAGGGCCAACTTTACTGTGAACAACTCTGAAAATTGATGCCTTTTATGCATTAAAAATATATTTTAGCTATTACAAAGCTTTGAAAAAGCATTACAATTTCTGCTATATCAGGAAGTCAGTAAGAGCTGACCTGAGGATATGGGCTCAAAATCTAACACTGCACATCCAAATTAATCATTGCCGCCACCTTTTGCTTTCAAAACTGGTACCAAAATCTCATTCCTTTCTCTCATACAATTCGAAACAGGACTTTACAGCCATAGACCTGCACTCTGCAGAGAATGCCAACAAAACAGCAGTTGACAAGTTCAAACAAAAGCACAATCACATGAAAGTGACAAAGCCAGAAGAAAATCCATTCATCTAGAAAACTTTCCGGAAGCTGACAAAGTGATAGGTAGGTTTAACTCATTCAGAAACCATCATTCACTTGCAGTGGCAGGCTTGGGGAAGAGGAGTGTTCTGGCACTGCTGTTTCTCTTCCTTCACATCCAATGGATCTCTTCTTTTAATGTCTGTCTGAAGATGTGCTCCTCAAGTGGTAAGCCTTAATCTTTTCCAAGACAGTCACGTTTATTCCTTATCTATCCCAGTATGAATGTCTCACATTCAGAAGCTAGAGCTTTCCTACATTTACCCCCACCACCTGGAGTACAAGATACTTCAGAGGTTCATAATACTTAATACTTAAGGTAAAGGAAATGTACTGAGGGAAAGTTTAGAATAATCATCCAATTTGAATCTGTCCCTTCAATAGGCAATGCCACCATATTCCAAATTGGTGGTTTAAAAATTGAAAGTTTTATGACTAGTTATAAACTTGTTTGTTATCTCCAGCAAAGAACCAACAACAACAAAAAAATCCCACAGAAAAGATAGCTTTCTTGGTAGTTCATTTTTACTTTCTCTCACCAAGGACAAAGTAAGTCTTTTTACCAACTTCTTATACTCCTATATCTGTATGGCTTTAGTAATCAGCACATAAAGTGCTTTCTTTTCTAAAGAGCACATGAATTGTTCACCATCCCTTGTAGTTCTCTAAGTATGCAGATTTCAGGTATTATAAAAATAACTGAAGTATAAAAATACTTGAACCGATGCTGTTTGCAAACAAAACGGAAAAACTATAAAATAACCACTCACCAGATTCTCTTCAAACCACTCCCGTATACACACTGCTGTGGCCCCTGGAATTTGATTTCGCAATGCTTCTTTCTCTTGAGGATCCTCTAGCATTTCCAGTGCCATCTTTAGATCTTCCAGGAGATGCAATATTTGAAATGTGCCCAAGTATACTGATGGAGCAGGTGACACAATATCATAACCACCATTAGCATATTCTGTAGCTGACTTTGTACCTGAATCAAGTAAAACCAGGAGAGACAATAATGTTTTGTAACTATTTTGTAAATAATAAATATATACATACTACACATTGCAACGTTTGGACTTCAGATGCTACCAGACAAGTATCAGTATTTCAGGCTTACCAATACTTGAGTTAGTCTTTAGATAAATAACAAACACTGATGAATTAAATATGACAGGTATGTACAAGCATATTAAAAAAATTCTGATCTAGAAAACACTTGCAATGTCTATTAAATTATAAATGCCAAAACCTATCACAAATCACTTGTAATTTTCCATGGGTACCATGAGATGTCACTAACTTCTCAGCTACATAGAAATCCCCACACATAGCAGTGTTAAGCAGTTTATGAAAGACTAAGGCGGTTCTTTGACAAGAAACTTACATGAAGACAGAATGTGTTACCAGAACTAGAAAAATCTGTGACCTTGAGCATGTCTAAAACCCTCCCTCAGAGAAAAACCCAACAATTTAGCAATAAAAATTACTAAAGAAACTTTGCTAGCTCTCTAAATTACAAAAAGCTGTTTAAATTGCAACACCTCCCTCCTGCCAGCCCTCCAGCAACAATATTATTTTCTCAAGAACAATAAGCACAACAATAAACATATCTCACTTGATGGAAGAACTATAAGTAATACAAATTCTAGTATCTCCAAATCTTTTTGTCTTGCTACTATGCTTCAATGAGATGCACATTAAAATGAGCTGCAATTTCTTAGTCCTGAATTTCAGACCTTGATTTCATTTACTATCCCTTTGTTTCTTTCAGAACTCATCAGATGGAAAACTTCCACTTGCTCTACTTTTTACTTTTTTTTCCCTCCTCTTTTTTACAATTCATTGCCTCAGGTACATAATAGACTGTACTCATGTCTTCATTCCTTTTCTCTCTGGCATAAACAACCACATTTTCCCCCACCATGGAAGATTTTTTCTTAGGCTTTTGATCATCTCTGTGTTGGACCCACATAGCATATAGTATTCCTTAGAAGCCTGCATCATTGATCTACATGAGGGGATTATAATAATCTCTATACTACTCTTTGTTTTACTCCTGTGTTTAACATAATTTACATCTTAGTTAAAAAAGGACCAGAAATCATCACTGGGCCTTTGAAAATTAGATTCTAAGTTATTTTCCTCAAGCAGATGTATCTAATTTGAAACCCAATGTTTAACTTCACTCAAAGCTTTCAGGAAAATTCTAAATAATATTAACTAGGCTTTTTCAACCACTGCTTTAATGACACAAAGAATTCTGTCAGATCTGTGCAAAAAATTGTGTGGTTTGAACTCTACTGTAGGATGTATATGGGTTGTTTGGTTTGGGTTTTTTTTATTATTGTTTTAAACAGTGCAAAACAATCCACAGAAATTTGTAAAGTTTTGCAAGGCTCAGTAGTAGGGATTTCATATATTTTTTAAAGCAACACTCATTTTCACTACTGAAGCATTACATATACCTCTTTTCAAACTTGGAATATTTGCTGTTTGGTCCTGCTGAACCTGCTGCTTATGAGTTTATTTTAATACCTCAAGAGTGAGATCTCATCTTAATTTCTGGCTAAGACCATGCCCAAGATAAAGCTTCTTCAATATCAGCTGCTACAAAGACTGCTACACAAGACAATTTCACCTCATAAATCAACATCGTCTTCCTGAATTATTTCCTATCAAGGAGAGGATCAGCTAACACCTGTGCTGGATTTGAGAATTCTAATCATGAAGAGATATTTTCTTGTGTATTTCTATACTCTCAGCTACTCATGCCAGCTTCATTATTTCTGTTTATGCAGTTGCTAATGCAGATTATTATTCAACTCTAGCAACTAAAGATAGCAGATTTAAAAACTGTGTAAGAGCCATTTGGGTCATATAACCTCCTAAATCTTTTCATTTATCCAGAGTGCTTCACTACTCATTTTTCAAAACGGATACACACACAATGTAGCACTGATGGTACTTTTAAAGATCCAGCTTCCAGGTTGGACAGAGCCTTGGGTGGCATGGTTTTGTGGGAGGTGTCCCTGCCCATGGCAGGCAAGTTGGAACTAGATGATCTTAAGGCCCTTTCCAACCCTAACTGTTCTATGATTCTATGATTATTGTATTAGGACTTTTAAAGTAGTTTTCTCACTCTTTCTTTTGAAAAACTCCATGCTAATTTTTTCTGTCTTTTTGCTTAGCAAGTACTTCTCACACCAGAACCACAGACAGGATCCAAATTTAATTCATAATCAGCTTTGGTAGCTACTCCTTCAATGAACTGACAATTTAAAATAAACGTGGAATGGGAAAAACTTAATGGAGCACTCTGTTACAGCATTCTTCATGTTATTTATGTGCATACTTTTTATATACAGACAAGAGAGAAACAAGCAAACAGAAATCCACACAATCCAAACAAACCACACACTTTCAGGACCACAACCAATACTTTAATTGTGAAATAAATCCATAATCGTTACGCTGAAGCTGAATAGAGATGTAAATCAATTGTTCAGGAGTTCAGTTATACTTGGTAGGTAATTTACACAGCCTAATACAAAGCCATACCATACACACCACTGTAACTTTCTCAACAGTATTGGCAACATCTTCCCTCACCAATCTAAATGCCTCACTACGTATCACATCTTGCCTCCATCCTTAGATTATCATGGCTACAACATTACTGGTAACGTCTACCTTCTACAGAAAATAATTTAAAATTCTGTAGGAAAACTCAATCACAATGAAATTCACACAGTTGGGCATGTCTTTATTTGACTTGCCTCTACTGAAACACTGGGGGAAGAAAAAACATATATGCACACTCTTTAATCTTGGCAAGTGGAAGAACTGTTGCCCTTGAGAAATGCAGTTTTATAAATGTAAAATATATGAAGTGCTGGAGTACAGGAAGGGCCATCCAGGGATGTGGATGTCCTGTGATTTCCTGAGACTGGGCATACTCAATATGTATGTTTCATTCATCCTAAGCTCTTCAACTGACTGTTCAGACTATTCAGCCACCTCAAAGTTTCTCATTTTACACAGTAGTGGAAGGTCATAATTTCTCAGAACTCTCAAGAACTGGGTACATATGTAAGGCCTACATGCCAAGTCTCCATAGTTGTAATCTAAGGTGGGCCTTGACAATAGTCCTGTCCTGTGCAGGGACATTAGGAAAGTGGTAACGTGTTTTTACCAGGAAAGAGTATCAGCTTGACATCTCATGATTGAGATAGAGTCAATTCAAGAACTTTCAGGTGTTTTTTCTTGCTGCTATTTTCCTGCCTCAAATTTTCCTCCATTTAATTTTGCATGAAATAAGAAACAAAATGAAACATGAAGAAGGAAATATTTTTCTATTTGTTGCTAAGAAAAACAGGACGTGACAAAATCATCAAAGACATCTTTATGGCAAACTCATGTTCCCTAAATTACCTAACAACATACAAAAGCTGGTATATCTTATGACTTACCACATACCTATGACTGGGAATTAATTTTGAGCGTAAACAGTACAGGATTTTAAATTGAAGATGACAATAAAGGCACTTGGAAATTGTCTTAGCTAGTAACAGTAAACAGACAGCATAGTATTTGTTTCCTTACATGAATAAAGATGTAATGATCTTACAAGTCTGTAAATTCCTATATGCACTAGTTCCATTAAACCTTGAAAAGCAAAACATCTCTGATTAATACCAACTAAAGATAAATGAAGGAAGTAGAGACTGAAAGACTCAACTTAATTAATAATTTTAAATCTTTCAACTTATGTTATTGTGCATGAAAGAATTTTATATATATATATATCAATATATCAGTACTATTCAAGGTTTGTATTTAGACTTTAAAAAGCAGGCACTGTTGAGAGAAGAATGTACCTGTGTTTGATACCACCAGAAAGACAAACAAAAAACAAACCATATCTGTACTCTTACCATGCTGAGTATATACAGGGCATAATTCTTAGATATGCTGAAGATTCTAGTCTTCAGCAATCAAAATTTCACTAGTTTCAAATAACTGGGATCACAAATATTAAGCAGGGACTTAAAAGTGCTTTGCTTGGCTGGTTAGGGGCCAGAGTACTCAAATCAACAGAGGTTACAAAGCTCTCCCATGAATACCTCTCCTTGTCCAGAACAAGAACTACCCAGATCTCAGTGCATCACTAAGAGAAAATGACCTTTCACACCTCCCCATCAAATACACTCCTCCACTGTGAAATTAATTTTAAACTTGTTTGCTATGGGTTGCACTGTAGTACTGTCTATGATCCTGGCTGAAACGGAAAACAAAGAATTCCTCTGAAAACAACAACTAATGCACTTTATACTAGGTAAAGAAATACAGAAGTGCAGTTTAACTCAGCATTTAAACTTAGAAAGCTTCCTAGCTTAATGCCTAAATTCAAATCACAGGCTTGTGATTCTCTTGTTTGCTATCCATGTAGTTTCACATTAAGTAGTATATATATTGCTCACCAGATGAACACACCTTGAAAAACAGAAGTAAAAGGGCACGGGAGTAAATAATTATATTTCTTTTCATTAGTTTAAACCTTTAAATCATCATGCTGCAAAACACTTTAAGTTTTAGCAACAGACAGTAAGAATTTTGCAGACTGATGCAAAAAGGAGATTCCATAGTGCAAACAGAACACTACATGTTATCAGTATATTCTGCCAACAATAATTAATTTGTGTGTAGTTTTATTATAGACAGCTGAAGTGGGGAAGAATGTGGGTCAAGCATGAGAATTTTACAGATACCCAGGAAAAATAAGAGCAGTTTTGAACTCTTCAAAAAGACTAATTTTGTATAACCTTGAGCAAATCACAATCTTTCTCTGCCTCATTTTTTTCCCAGGGGTAAACAGGACACAGGGGAATCTTTTGTCCTATATGTTTGTATAATACTCAACACCAACAGTACCAGAGTACTACTGGAACACAATCACCATAAATGTCCACCTTAGAGGAGTAGGAA